GATTAGATTAAGAAATGCCAAGTGGCAAGTTTCGTAGGACTTTTCAGGTAAAAATCCATGCTGGCTAGATTTCTGGAGCTGATTATCTACACAGAAAGGAAAAATTTCCTTTAAAATTATCCTTTCAAGACGTTTTACTAGAGACGGAGTTTTGTGTACGTCCCGATAATTGCTAACATCGGACGGAGATTTGGACTCGAAGCCAGAAATGATAATTGACGTCTTCCATGTTTACGGGAAAAATCCGTTCAAACTACGAATCAAGAATAAATGACTAAGCGATATGGGGAGGTCGGATGCCTGTTTGATAATCGAATTTGAAATCTCATTCGTTCAAGAGCAGTGTGGGTTTTTCGAGGGAATTGTGTGTTTCTTAATTAGATCTGAGGAGACATCGACTGTAGTCAGTGTCCTGTCTGTAGGTGAACGACAGAAAGGGACCGGTCTGGACTCAATGCTAAGGTGTTTTGCAGAGAATGCACTAAACAACTCTGCCTTGTCAGTGTCATCGATAAGGACGATTTTACTATCGTTTAGCAAGGATGAAATTTCGTGGGCATGTTTAGAGGAGGACCGAAGACGGAAGATTCTAGCGACGGATTCGGTAGGGTTCGGGCCACTGAGAGCAAGTGATTCTCTTTGCTGTCGCGCGCTTGACGTACCCTCGAGACCTTTCCGAAAATTTTTCTGATTCTTAGACTAATGGACAAGGAACTAGTGGAAAAGTCACGCAGCTGCTGTCTCAACTTTTTTAGTCTATTGCGAGGAGAATAAGGAACAAGGGAATCCGAAGAGTTAGACTTGAGGAATCTACGAGGCACAAATTCTAAGATGTCTTTGCTGCATCATTATAGGAGAAAAAGCCACACCAATCCAATGATTCAGTATAATTATTTATTAAGTCGCTGTCCATGCAATCGTAATTTAGGGAGATCATGACTGTGCTGAACTTCTTTGAAAAGGTAGACGACAATGAATTAATACGTGGTCATTATCAAAAAGGTCTACTTTGAAGGCTACAATAAAGGAGCAATGTCATCGACGAAGATTAGATCTTAAATGAGATAAGCTATTACTGGAGAGCTCACAAGCGGAGGCCAATTATAAAAGTTGATAATATCTTGGAAAGGTTGGAATCTAGGTGGGCAAATACTCGAAACCCAGTCTATTTCAGGAAAGTTAAAATTTCCAGTGATTATTTTACCATCGAAAGCAGATTGCAAAATTGACTTAGAGATTTCATGAAGTTGTGCATCATCACTGGGTGAAGAATTTGGGGGATTGCTAATACAGTCGATAATGGCCTTTTTGTGGCGAGAGAACAACAGATGCAAAGCAGGAGTTTTCCGTGAATGAGGAGGCGTCCAAGTAATAGGGAGAGTGCTTTAGGTAGTATCTAAGATAAAGAAGACAACCACATCTAATTGTGCTGTCTTGATGGTAGAAATCGAAGTCATCTATAAAAAGAAAAGAGTCAGAAATTAGAGGATGGGTCAAGGATTCCGTTTTACATATAATATCGGGCGTCACTTCGGGAAAGATAGCTCTGATTTGGGCCCTCTTGTTTATAACAAACCTGACATTTAGTAATCTTATATTCAGTGCATTTTGAGCAACATGGCTATTGTCGACGGTATTTGGAAAAAAATTTGGAGGTGGATACGTAAGCTATAAATTATTTTTATTTGGGGAATAAGTATCAGTGCGTCCAAAATTATTGACATATGGGGAGTTAGCAAGAGAAGGCTGGGCGGGAGACCTAAAAGATGTAGGGATATAGTTTTCGGATGCTGGAATACTAAGCGAGTTAGAACACGGGGAGGCTTATTGGTAGGGAACTTTGGGAGGAGGGAGCCTAGAAGGAAGTAGAGACATTCGGGAGAATGAAGGCAGCTATGAGAATTAAAAGGTGGGAAACCAGGTCAAGGATGGAATTTAAAGGAAATAGGTTGACTTACAGTTGGCTTTAAGTGGTGGAAAGCCTGAACTAGTTCGGGGGGTAAACGAGCTAGGGCAATTCACATAAGGGCTATTTACAGGTAGTTAGTGGGGCTTTGGTAAATAGCCGGTATCCGGGACAGAGAATTATTTAGGGTTATAAATGAAGCTATGGGGTTTATAGACGAGGTCGGCTGTAAGGGCTAAGTAAATCTAAGAGGAAGCGGCACAACACTAGATGGAGTTATGCGACCTTTCTTTTGGGCCAGCGTTGGATTCCGTTTTTCGCCCACATCGTTCTGACATCATGCCACAGGTAACTTTAATCGAGAATTCCGAGAACCCTGTCGAAGTAGGGGAGCTATCGGTTCACTTGGTGCAGACGGATTTTCGTGCGTTCCAGGAAGACTGGCAGACAGATTAAGGGCGAAAGCTGAGGCTCCTGCTAATTTGGAGATAGACGGAGACGTTAGGTGGCTTGAGTGGAAGGGAGATATAGGAGTAAGGGGAAGCAATGAATCGGATTTCGGAGGGGTGTGATTAACTGAATTCTTACGGCGACTTGTAAAATGACCGAATTAGTGAGCATTTGACTGAGAAGACGGGGGTTTATGTAAAATAGGGACCCACTTCTAGGTTCATTGGAGGTAAGATCATGAAAAAGAAAAAATTTCGCGTTTCCTAGATATGCAGACACACGATCTCAGTGGACAAAGATAGAGTAAACCTGAACTCGTGAAAACAGGTTTACTAAAACGGGCGAATTTTTGTTAAGGGAAGAGAGGCGTTTGACATCCACACGAGTGCAGGAAATCACCCGCGATGTCAACTGGCCATGCAGATCGAAGGACACATTTCAATTAGAAGTTATGAGCTTTTTTCTGTTTATCACTTGATCCACTAGCAGTCTGATGAACGAGTGAATCAAGATGCTAGCATTCTTGAGTGGGAACATCAGTGATATCCCCATCAAACACTTTCCCCAGAATCAAGAACACAATGCCAAACTTCAGCAAAAAACCGTTGAAACGTAAAGTGCAAGCAGATCAAGCTGCCTATCAATAACAACGGGTGACGAATGACCATTAATTCTTTCAGACCTGGATTTAATGGAGCCTAGATACAGAACACGAAAGCTTTCGCAGACATGCGACTTTTTTTCTCATTTTATCTCGAGGTAGGTTGGAGTTAAGTAAAACTTGTGACAGATCTGACGGACAAATTTCAGCGAGAGGTTAACGGTGTAAAGAACATGTACACGGTTAAAGACGGTTTGAATGCACAAAGTACGAATTGAAAAATGCGACTGCTAATCAATGGACACAGTCTAGCAAAACTCAAAAGAGAAACGGAAACCAATATTTCTAAAAGAATAGACCACTATTTAAAGGGCTTTATTCAAAAAAGCAAAGACCTGAAGTCTTTGTATCTCTTACAAAAATCCACTCATCTTCAAATTTTAAACCAGCGGCTTAATCCTGTCTTGACCTTATTTTCAACCCAAAATTTTCGCACAATTTCTTTTGTGCTCCCTGAATCACGTGTCGCGCACTTTCCATTTGAGCAGTTGATGAAGACCTTTAGAACGTGCGCTCGTAGACATTGACTAGTTAACCCCCCTTTTCTCCAAATGTCTTTAAAAGAACGCATGTAATGCCCGTAAACGCGTGTAGCGCAAACAGATCAAACTGAATACCCTAACGGCAGCACCTGGAAATATGTGCGTACTTCACCACTCAAACCATCATTTTGGCATGCCAGTATTTCCATAATAAATAATGTTTCCCAAATCCACTGATCCCCTCCATTCGTCCTTTATTTAGTGATTCTCCATGCTGTCGGCACGAGCAATAAAATTAACCCAAACGATAAAGTAAGCTGTATGCAGAAACAGTAAGGTTCATCATTTTGGACATCAAACTGATAGACTCGAGTAATGGTATGAAGGAAAAATTGGCGAATGTTCACCGGAGGTATAAAAAAACAGACATAGGATGCTGTCCCGCGACCTGGTCGGTGACTGGCAGGACACCGACTATGAATTATGAAGCCCGCGGAAACTGTTATAGAGGATGCTGTCAGAAATGCCAGGGTTCAGCAGAGTCGACAGGAAGATAACCACCGAAATATATGGGGAGAGGGGACTGTAGGGGGGTGCCGAGGTAGGCTACGGTAATAACGAGGGACAGCCAACATTGGTCAGCTGACTAAGTCTTGGAATACATGGACCGACTGGTGGCTGCGTTTTCCATCGTAACCAAGTCTAAAGATTAGAAATTATGCAATAGGGCTAACTTCCACCGGCTGGTCCCTAATCGTTAGAGGAAGCAGGGACCAAAGATTTGCTTTAGTGGAGGCAGGAGAAGAGGGCCGTTGTTGACGCCATTGACACCAAAATCTTGTTGCTGTGTATTAGCCTACCCGAAAGAAATAAGCTCACACTCTAAAGAAATGCAAATATATACATATATTCCGAATTGTAGTTAGTACACCTGGCTCAGGTAATTGAGTAAATGGATATAAGAAGTCGATCGTTGAAACCAATTGTTTATTTAAACAACGGCTCGAACTCTTATGAGAGACCATCGTCAAGGAATAAAAAACTGTACAAATTATCGCATATTTAGCTCACCTCTACCGGTGATGACATTCAGCTGCGTTGTTGATTTGCTCACGCGGTGCCTAGTAGACTGGCAGCTCGATATGTCGATTAATCGAGTCCTCGGTTGACTGTCACGCTTCCTGCAGCAGCCGAGCAACTCGGTCGTCCGCCTGACTCAGTATTCTCTCACACTCAAAGTCAGAACCGTGCCCTGACAAGGAAGCGTCGGCGGCTTCCGTCTCACAGCCAATTCATGTTAATGCAATCTCGTGTGAACCCGTTTGCCGGTTTCACCAACATCATTGGCATGGCTATCCATTAAGGGATCCCCGATTTCTGATTGAAGGGAATCTGGTCCTTAGAGTGCATGAAGTGCCAGCGGATTGTTACTTCAGGTCTGTGAGCGACGCCAATTCCAAATTCACTAATCCGTCTAGCGAATTATTACGAAACACCAGCCATGTACGGCACCGCACACCAGCACTTCGGTTTCGGTCGCCCCTTTCGGTTTTCTTCCTCGGGTTCCTCTCTTGCACTTTTCGGCAGAATTCCCAGGGTAGTCGTTCACTGTGAAGAGTTTCCACAGAGACTGGACCTCGACCTTGCCGGCTGGATCGGTGCACTGGGTTTCTACATGCTGGTAGGTATTCTCACGCAGCTGGTCGTTGAGTAAACTTAGATTACAAAAGGTTTTTGTCGCCTTCATATAAACCGTTGTGTTAAGTTCCCCGACGCCTTTTTGAATAAGTACGTCATGAAACGGCAACTGACAATCTGATTTTTTAATCGGCCATTTATAAACCTATGTGACCTAGTGTCTTAGGGGTTGCGTAGCGCCCTTGTCCGAACTCTCCGAAATTTTTCGCATTTTTGAATACGCCATAAGCAGCCGCGAAACGGCGCATCACCAAGCTGCCGCTTTAACCCTTAAGCATATGGAAAAATACCCTATGTGCGGTCTAGTTTCTGACAACACATGATTTACAAATGAAACGAGCAAAGTACTAACAGTCTGAGGGAAATGCTCTTATTTATAATATCCCTGTGTTGTGCATTGATAGTCTTAAATGGGGCCTGGCAGCAAAAATGGCTACTATGTTAGAACTATGCGAGGTTTCATATTTGGCGAATTTGCATATAAGGGATTGATTATGCGATGGTTAATATAACAACCGTTCTTAAGTAAGCTTTTCCAATTGGACGTACATTTTAGAATTCCGGCTAAAATTTCATGATATAGCATATCTACTATGTGCGACCGTAAGGACCATTCCCATAGAGAGGAACGCCTAAATAATCAATAACTGGGCAAATGTTTTCAAGAAGAATATTTTCTTAAAGGTTTTAGTAAAAACCAAATACAAACATTAGAACTCGCAAACTGTTCTCGGAAGTTTCGAGTCAACCCAGTGCCTCAGTGGACCCCATTTTTGGCAAAACCCGCACAGTAATTTTACTGTTGAAAAGTTCTCTTAATATGCAGATGACGAAATGATTAAGATTGCATCCGCTAATGCTTTTAGAACGTTTTCGCCCCCATTTCGCCTGTCAGCGTGTGTCTTTATGGAGGCATGTGTTTCTCTGACGTCTCTATTAGCAAAATCAAGAAAAGCCGCCTTTTCTTTAACCAAACTCGAACGGCGACAAAAAGAAAAAGTACGCTAATTTTTCGCAACAAGCTTTTGAAACACGTGATTGGACATTACTTACTTAATTTTATGCCAGAATTCACGTAGCACTTACTCTTGATGGGCATTTATTCAGAATTATTGTTGAAGGGTTTTTAATGTTACCATGCTTATGAAGTTTTACTTACTCGATTATTTGCGCCATCAGGCTTTTTTAGTGGCCAAATCTGGGCCTCATCATTTGACACGACTGTTTTCACTGTCTGCATTTCCACTCTTTAAAAATTGTTATTTATATCAAGACAAATAATGCCTTCAAATATTTACCTTATTTTTTAAAATTTAACTGCAGTTCGTCCGTTATTCGTTAGATTTTTTGGGGTATTCATTTGGACTAGTTTACGACTGCTTGGTGTTTATTCGTTAACGTACGCACACTCCATGCGATAGGCTACCTGCTGTATTTTAACGGGACGGGCAGCTGGCTGAATGTGGCTGACTTCAGATCACTGTGGCGGCTATTATTAGTGTGTTAGAACTGGACCGCCAGTCTGGTGTTTACGCAGACGTAGTCCAATTTACAGTACGATGACCTGGACCCCATAGTTTTTTTTCAGAAACTGAGCTCACAAAGACGTAGCTATCATGTCATCGTTGGAGCCACAGGTTTATGCGTCTGGCATTTCAGGTTCACGTATTATTCAAGCGACGGAAACATTTTCTTCCAAACTGCTAATTTCAGTTCATCATTGCCACCACTATCGTCAAAACCACAAGCACCACTACTATCACCACTGCTATTACCATTACTACCACTACCTCATTCGAGGAAGCTCAACAACTCATTTTGCATACGCAGTATGATCTATGTATGAACGATTCTTGAACCCCACAAAGTGTTATGTGGTAAACTGCTACTAGACAAATACACACAAAGAAGACGATGAGTCGCAGTAATGCCCTTCAGGCTTATTTCAAGGCAAGTGCAGCAGAACATCTCTGTCCGGACAATTTGATATCAGTACATCCGACCGCTTACAGAAATCACGCATTTCTTCTTTTAACACCGATATCTTGAAGATCAAACGTTTTCCTACTTTGTTATCCAATCTTTGTCAAAAGAATCACAAAAGACAGGGGTTTGGTTGTGTTTTTTTGCACTGATGTGCCATTTGCGAATTCGAAAGCAAACGTTTGCAGACGGTGCAAGTGTACCCGGAAATATAGCTTTTAGCTTACCGTGAAAATTCGGGATTCGGCGGCGGCCTTGAAAGAAGGGGTGCGTGCAAGAGTACCGACTGTGATAGTGATATAAATCGTCCTATGTAGGCATGAATAAATATATAGAGCAAGCACTCAAGCACTCCACACGCAGTCTTACAGCAGGCTGACTCAGCGCGTAATTCCCCATTGGAGTAATTTCTTCAGAACAAAGAAGACAGCTTACAACTCAAATCTTGGTAAGTTGAGACGGTCTTAGTTCATACTGTGCATTTAATAGCTGTGATGTTTACGCAAGAAGTAGCTATAATATTGTCAAAAGTGGTGTTTTTTTCATCCACATTGTAATCATTTTTTGAATGCAGAACTTCGGCTGCAAGTTACGGAAAGTCGAATTGATGCATAAGATTCTGACCTTTCTTCTGAAACCTTAATGGGTCTTAAAAGTCAACGCTTGTCCAGCTTATTTTCTGCACAAGCAAACCGAAACCCAGGAATGGATGCCACTCGTGCAATTTCATTAAAATGCAGATTTCCACGTATGATTGTAGGTTTTCACAACATAGCCGAATTGTCCCCTATCTGACGTGGGTGCAACCGGGCAGATTGCCACCCGGTGAACGATTCAACAGCCGGCCCGACTGTCGTTGTAGTGCTTTCTAACCGCAAACGTTTTTTTACTCTGAACGAGGTATATTGGATTAGCATCTAATGGTCTCCATGTTTGTTATGCATCAGCATAGATTTCTTCCTCAGTAACCTTCAAAGGTGTGGCGCAGACACCCTGAATCAGAGCCTAATGGCGAGTTGCATCCCCTCCACTTTACTGCCAACGAGCGTTTGAGTAGCCGCTTCTCCCCCTGTTTTGCATGCAACGGCCTAGATGAGCAATATTCGCTAAATTATATGCCATATCAATGGATCGTCTGCGCATTCAGTTGCTCTAGACATTATTTCCCGCCATTCCAAAGTCAATCAAGTTAAGAGCGCGCGTTTTCATTTCCTCTAGTATTACGATTTTACCAGGCCCGGTGATTGTGATAAGTAGTAGTGCACAGTCTGTTGGCAATATGACAGGATTATATTTCCTACATTGATCCTGCGCTAGGTAGGCTAAATGATTGATCTAGGCTTAAAAATAATTGAGGTCGCCCACTTCTAAAAACATGTACTTAATACTCACATCTAGACCATTCCCTTCGGAAAGTAAAGGAGAACGCAAAATGGCTTTTTTCGAACATGAGGAAATCACTTGTGTATGCAAAAGCAGGCAGACCTCCACACCAGTGGTTCATGCAGCAAGTTCTTAAATAACAGCGCAGAACGAAAATGGTGATAAGCACTTCGGCCCGGAGTTCAAACGCCATCCAAAGTCTTAATATTATAGGTACCAAGAGTCTCCTTCGTCAACTGTGTCCAGTTCGTATCTGTATGCGCGAGTTTCCAGTTTTCTGAGAGAGTTTAAGAGGACGCTAGACGTATATGGCCAGCAAGTTGCACCACAATCTGTCTTCGTCCTTGGCCTGTTTTTGAACACCGAAATCATTAAAAACAATTATCATCATCGCATACGCGGAGTCCTCATTCATTGGATTCAGGTTAAGTTGGAATTGTATTACTATATCCTAGCCGACTTCAGTCTGGTGGTTAGTTGCCTGTTCTTAATCTTTGCTACCTGTATGGATTTTGTTTGATTCGGGGAGCCAATAAATTGACGTGTGACCATTCTTTATTTATTGGAACTATGTGCCAATGAGGTACGTTGCACCATCTGCAAATCGCAATGGCGTTCACACTTTACAAGTATATTGTGCGATAGAAAATTTTAGTGTATCATGCAAAGATTAATGCGATAAGGAGCAAGATAAATAAATTTTTCTGAAAATCAGCCAAGTGCGACTGAAGTGTGTCAATGTACGTCCTGTTGATTGGAATTTCCCACATCAAGGAGAGCGGGTGGAAGGAGTCGTACAGCGGTCACTGCCAGTAAATAAATCAAAAACTACTGTTTAGTGCGTTCGTTTCACTGTAGTCTTGATTCATGTATTGTTCAGCATAAATCGACCAACTGCTGAATACAAAGCGTTTTTCAGGAGCAACTTTTCAGCGAATAATTTTGATCATTTAGACGGCATGAATCAAACGATAAAAAATTTCAACTCTCCTTTGCCGTGCATATAAACAGTGCGTTTAGAGAAATGAGGTAAGTAGCAGACAGTGGGAGCAAAAACAGTGTTCGCGTCCATATCGCCAGGATTCGAGGGGAAAATATGTCAAGGTGAGCTCGTCTGTAGGTCTCTTACTGAGTCACTGAAACGAAACCTTTCGTGTAGAGACAGGGGAGACCACGTAAGTCATTTTCAGGACAGCGGGCCCGTGGCCCAGTGGTTAGGGGCGTTGGACTTCTAACTAACAGGTCGCGAGTTAGAGCCACAGGTTTTCCACACTTCGGGGTCGGGTATGACTGGCTGCCGACGGTCAATAAGCCAGAAATGGCCATTTCAGGCTCCCTTGTCTTTGTCGATAATAACATTCTGCCCATATCATACGCCGTTGTGTGGCTGCTGGTTGGGCTCGGGAGAGTCCGTAAGACACAACGGAGCGAGTGAGTTTCGTAGAAACCATCGGCCAGCACCCCTCTACCATTTTCAACTTGCCGGTCTTTCGTCAGTCAGCCATGAGGCGGTTGCTCTTTCAGTCTTGTGCAACAGAGTAAACTGCCCTATGCTTCATTCGAACATTTCGACTTTCGTTTCATCATTCGATTTAAAAGATAATTTAAATTATCGACTACAATGGAACTGTAATGGAACCGCCTTCGGCGCCCAATTCTAAAGTATAACCTTCCATAAATGCTGTTACCAGTTATTTATATTTTCAAATTTTCTTATATAGGCGCAACCATGCGACTTTGTTCCTAAGTTAGTTTGGAATTACACAAATGCCTCATCTTTGTATGCGGTGACCTACAACAAATATGAAATATTTCGTCTCTATTTAAGGCACCCCTGTTCCAAATGGAAATAACCTTATAAGTCCATGAGAGGTCCCGTAGCCCCGCATGTAAGAGTGTTGACTGTGCTCGGCCGTACTCTTGTTGTTGTGGGTTTGAATCCCATCAAGTAGGTCAGGTGAATTATTCCAAACAGAATTATGCGCATGCAGGTCAGGTCTGGGTGCTGAGCAAAGAGGATTATTTCACCGTCAAAAGTATATCGTCACTGAATCCGGGAGCTTTCCTGTTTTATTTTTATAACATTTCCAACTGTCTTTGCAGCACTATGTGCAATCGCGGGTGACTGGGTTACTTATTTTACCTTTCAGCTTCAAATATCCAAAAATGAAGAGATGCGGACGCCTAGTAATCTTGGTATTGATGTTTCTTCTTCATTCGAAGGTAATGCGAATAATAACCCTTTTTGCATCTATATAACGCCCACTTATTCCCTTTTTGACTCCGATATAAGCAAATCGGAAGTATTCCTAACAGAAAAAATTCATTTGTGGAAGTGTCTCTAGCTCAGAAGATCTCAAAGCTTTAAATATGTAAATGAAATCGGGAAGCATGACGGGTCGGTAAATATGTCATCTACGTACCAAAAATAACGCAACGTTATTTATTTACCTAGCCCGTACAACATGTTCCACCGTATTCACGATGCTATTTTCCTCCACTTTTGCTAGTGGACAGCTGAAATTTACGCAAATTGTTTATATACCTTTTTACCGCTTGCTTCTCTATCCTGCTATATTTTCCACCTTTATGTATGCGATGAACAGTGCAAGGTATACATGATATTTAAATAAACTCTCATCTGAAAGTAATTTAAAACTAACCGTCTCCGACAAGATAAATATCGGTCAAGTCGAATGCTACCTTAAATCAGTCATGCCCTTGCGATTGAAGGGACTACTGCAGAGCTTGTTTGTGAATACCATTATTATTGAAGGTTACTGCTCATTCGGTTTAGTTACCTTCTTGTTGGTCGACGAAAGCCTGTCTCTGCACGAGACGGTAAGTTAAACAGACAGTAATGTTTCTGACGTCCATTGTAACATTCTGTGGGAGAATTAGTGTACCCGTTTGTCCGTCGGTCTAGTTGTTATTGCTCATAGGTCAAAACAATTCTCTGCGCGTTACGGTAGTTTAAATGGGCATCGCCGTCTCTGATATACCGAAAAATGTCCAAAAACCAATTATCCACCGCTCCGTGTAACCCCTATGAGGTGCCCAGCCACGCCTGAAGACCCGAATGCTTGATTGTTCGCAACTGTTTATTCTCCAGAAACGCGAGTCTGCTTATTTTGCGACTGATTTTCGCTGGAGACCGTACAAGTGGTCACTACTGACAGTTTAGCCAAAGGACATGCCCCTCACAACGGGCCACTAGGGGCTGAACTGGACAGCACAAGAGAAGATCAGGGCACGACCCCCAGCGTTCTTGCCAGGGTTTTGCGCCATAACCCTTCGGGAATGATCGACTGTTCATAAGTAGTGTATTGCCAAATATTGGGATATTTTATTCAGTGGAAACTCACCAACTCATGATTCGCGTATTTTTCCAAAAGCAGCAGATTTTCGATTTCATAGTATCCTCAAAGAAGCTAATCTATGAAAGGATCTCAGGCATCCTGAAAATGAAGCATGTAGAAATTCTGGGTTTGTGCACCAAAAATTAAAAAAACCATTATATTCATCTTTTCACACATATTTTAGGCAGGATGTTCAAAGTGAGTTTATTATAACTTGTGTACCTGAAAAGAAACGTTAAATTTATGCATAATATCTCTGAGGAATTTAATATCGCTCAGGTTTTAATTCGGCTGACAATGCTGAGTGATGCCAAATCCCTCGTTAATTTTTAAAGCTTGTTTACCAATTTTGTACCCCCCCCCCCCAAGATGCTAGTTTTCTTTCACTTTTTTATTTGTTTACGAGGTATCCCAACGACCTTGACAAAACACAGCCAACGTACGTTGAAAATACCGATTGCGACTATTTCTTGACATTTCAGGAGGTTGCAATGCAACATTTTTACTAAGGGCAAGATTTAAAACGCTGGGAAAAAAATGCGCACGTACAGAAAAAAATTTTCAAAGTTCCTTAAAGCACCTTTGTTATTACGCAGTAATTTGTTGCGTGAAATATAAACTCGACGTTAGTTTGGTTAAGTATTCAGATATGGTTCCTAATTAATTACTTGCGATATTTATCGTTGTTTGTAGGGATATAAAATGTTTACTTAAATCGACACATGTCAGTGCGGACGAATTTTTCATTAAATGCTAAATAAACCCTCAATTTTAAATTTGTACGTTGCACACAACGGTTTATAAGTGGTTATCTGCTAAAACGGATGTCTACTGACGTTTTTATTTGCATAAATTGTAGCGCACATTTGAGTTGGAAAATTAAGTGGGATTACAGGTAACCAGTTTTTTTTACTTTGTCGGCTTTTCATTCAAATAAAAAATAGGCTTTGAATGTAAACATATGGACTTTTTCATTATTTACTATCCTTTGTGCGTTGCTGCCTTTGTTAAAAAGTACCATAGGTTGCAGGCTTTTTACAAAAACAACAAAAGCGTTTCCTCCCAGCTTGACGTTTCCAATATCCCAACGAAACGAATCATTAAACACACCGTACATAGTATTCAACAAACAAAAACTGCTTGAATCCATTTCCATCATATCCCTGAAATAAAGTTAGGTTTTGGTAGTTAAATTACAGATTTATATCAAGTACCATGAAAAAGCATCGAAAACCAACAGTGACCACACGATAATCCGTTTGATCGTATGACAAATGTAGGAGACTGTAACTACTTGAAGATTTTTTCCACATTGCGCTTTCCCAGTTATGGTTATAACAACTCTCTGAGTATACTTAAGCTGTTACGCACTATAAAAGCAATTTTTTCTTTGTTATTTAGAGACGATAGGCACTGCGTGAAAGACATTCGGACAAGACTGAATAACGTAACAGCAGGAAAATGTCCTGAGAACATATTCTATACAACAACATTCTAGCAGTTAGCTTTCCGGGCCCCTGTACAGATCCGATTCTGGAAGTTCTGATCTAATCAGTACGTGTACTTCTCAATTACGCTCACGGTCTGCACATCTCGCACAACGGCTGTGGAAAAATTATTCCACAGTTACTAGATTCGTGGTGATGACAATTTTCAAAAAGTTCGCCGGGTTGTTCCTAAGCCCGCTGTTTTCGGGCTTATGAATATTTCTTGCAACGTAGTCTATGTGAATTAGAGGATTTTATACTAACTAAAGGTTCTGTAATAAAAAACGCGGATTTCGTAAAGTTGCTTTGGACATCACACAAACTCCAATTTGGATATTTTATGAGGACGTGAGGATGCACATTTAGCTTAAAATCATGCAAATCTTAGATAGTTTACCAAGACTGTAAATAGCCCTTCATCAAGGAGGAGCAATTACACGAACCATAAGTCAAAGTATTAAGCTGTTTCATATAATATGTTTGACTCTAGATAGTCAAATAAATGCCGGACAGTTCGATCGTCGGGTCCGATGATGTCTACATTGTGCTCCACAGTAAGGTGAAGCAGGCATGCCGACTTGCGCCTGAGTTAGTTTATAGTCAGAGTAGACTTTCGGGACACCTACCTCACTATCTTCTCCCCAACCTCGGCTGATGTCAGAACACAGTTACGAAGATCGGAGGTGAGAAAGGGCGCAGGTGGCCGGTGCGTCCAAAGCCGCCCCTAGACGTTTAGCCATGGCCGGTCGGGAGTGTCATCAAGGCCAAACTAAGAAGGGGTTATTTCAGCCTGACTCATAGACCACCAGCCCGCCACTCCACACAAACACACACTAGGCCAACTGCGAGGTCCAGGTTATTCCGTCAGTTGGAAACTTTCCAAGCCGCGGCTTTTAGCACATCGTGATAGGTTTATGGAGAGGAAAGTGCGCTGAGTCGTCGACCTCACTCTCTCTTCCCAATTCCAGGCCCCCACACTGTCCGAGCCGGTCAGTTGACAGGTGGGGGGGAGGATGGTTGCGGTGATTGACATCTCTCGTAACCTTGCCGTGCACGACCGAGCCTCACAAACACAAGCACCAGGATTTCACACAAGGCGGTTTAGGTGGCATACATCTCGCATGCATGGGAATGCCAGAGGTTACAGCAACAGTCGAGTACATATGTACATTTCTGCCAGCGTACCACCAAGAAATAGGTATTCTGTTGAAGGCACTAAAGGAACTTGTATTAAGATGCACACAGAATTTGCAGCTCCTTATTGACAACAAAATACAGTACGTGGGCTAACTCATAAAATGTCAAACAAAATTTCGAAATGCATTTTCGTTTCGAACAGAGTAATTAAGCAGTGCAAAATAACCCTATAATAATTCGGTTACCTCAGGATGTCTGAATCTGAATGAACTTCTTTTCGGCTGCATACAAAACCCACACTCTGTACAAAATGGCAAAATATGTAGCATGCATTTTTTCATTGATTTTTGATGCGCTTTTAAAGTAAATTATAATTCATGATAAACATGCATAAAATATTCATGATTTTGCTAATTCGATAGAAAATGACGTCTTCTATCAAATTTATGCTCGATGAAAGGGTATTATTCGATTCCAATAACTTTTGCAATCCCCAAATAATTTTGAACCTGGCCTGCACTTACACCTGCATTCAGGGTTTCCAATCTGCACGCCGTATATGTCACCGCGTATGGAATACCATACAGTAGGTGGGCAAACTCATAAAATATCAACCGAACTTCAGAAATGCGTTTTCGTTTCGAAATGACTAATTAAGTAGTGTTGCAAAACTAATCAGCCTGTAACATAATTCTATAATATTTCACTCACCTTGGGATGTCGGCTTTTGAATGAACTTCCTTTCGGCTTCACACAAACCTACACTCTGTAAAAATGACTACTTAATTAGCATGCCTTTTTTCGCATTGATTTTCGATGCCCCTAAACGTCCAATTAAATTTCTTGAAAAGCATGCTTAAAAATATTTATTCTTTTGCTCATTCGGTAGAAAATTACGTTTTCTTCTAGTTTCATACTCGAGGTAGGGAAATAACTCGGTTTTAAAAAAAATTTTAAATGTGGGACTTTTAAATCCCGTGAAATGGCCGTTCATAAATCGTCATGTCTCTGCATTTAACAATGTGGCTTGCAATGTTAAGAGTATAGATCAAATTCACTGCTAAATTTTATGAACCCCATATGGTCTACTCCTAATACCATAGGGAAGTCTACGGTTTCTCATACGATGAAAATATGTGGCTTGTACTTTGGAAACCCGGAATCAAAGTGTAACGGTAGAGCGGGTTCAAAATTATTCGGCAATTAGAAAAGTTATTGAAAACCAAATTACACACAACGTTCGAGTATAAAATTGGAAGATGACATAATTATCTACCGGATAAGCAAAATAATGAATATTTTGATGCGTTTTTCATGAAATATAATTGGACTTTTAGGGGCATCGAAAATCAATGAGAAACATGTATGTCACTTTAGTTGTCGTTTTCTACAAAGAATATTTTTGCATGCAGCCGGAAAGAAGTTTATTCAAAAGCCGGCATCCTGAGGTAACTGAAATATTGTAGAACTACGTTGCGGGCTGACTAGTTTTACAACACTACTCAATTAAAATTTTTGAAACAAAAACGCATTTCGGAATTTCAGTTGATATTTCATGAGTTAGCCCACCTACTGTACATTCCTCTACGGTATTAAAAGCAGACTATATGGGGTTCATAAAATTTGGCAGGGCATTTGAGCCATACTGCTAACTTTACAAGCCGCACTGGTCAATGCAAAGACATGACGTTAAATGAACGTATGAAAAGTCTCACATTTAGAAACTTTTTTAAAACCGAATGGCAACCTTCCTTTGAGCATAAATTGAAAGAAGACGTCATTTTCTACCAAATGAGCACAAAATGAATATTTTATGCATGTTTATCATGAAGTATAATTTACTTTTTAAGCGCATCGAAAATCAATGAAAAAATTCCATGCTACATATGTTGTCATTTTGTACAGAGTGTCGGTTCTGTATGCAGCCGAAAAGAAGTTCATTCAGATGCAAGCATCCTGAGGTAGCCGAATTATTATTTTTTTGCACGATGATAAGCTTAACGGCATTACCTAATTAATCTGTTCGTAACGAAAACGCATTTTAAAATTTTGTTTGACATTTCATGAGTTAGTCCACCTACTGTCTATAGACGAATAGACGGAGTTGCAATGGGATCGCCTCATAGTCCTCTCCTAATCGATGTCTTCATGGGCAAGTTGGAAAAGTTACAGTTAAATGATCAAATCAACACGCTAAGTCACTACGTTCGCTGCGTTGACGACCAGACAAACCAACATCAACTCCCCCTTAGATTCTTTAAATCAAACAAACTTGTCGATCAAGTTTACACTGTAGGTGTAAACAGCAGGCTCTCTGTCTTTCCTATACGTCCTTCTAAACAGAAGAGCTGACAGCGGCATTTGAAGAAGCGTCTATCAAAAAGACACTTGGTTTGCGGAATATACGAACCTCTGCATTTTCATACCCCTTCAAAAGAAACGTAATTTAGGTGGTTATCTTGCAACAAGGGCTAAAAAATCCGTTCTGCAGACAGCGTTGATAAAGAATATAGAAGAATCCAGGACCTACTTCGTGAGAACGGGTATCCTGACAGATTTATTGTAAATAATCTAATCTGACGACCGGGCAAAACTCATTATACAGACGACGAAAAGAGAACTCTGTTCCTCAAAATTCCCTTTCAAGGAGACGCGGCAAGTGAAATTCTGAGAGGGCGTCTTGACCAAGCCGTTTCACGGACCTTTCCGGCAGCAAGAGTTTGAGTATTGTTTTCGACCAACCCCGTCTTACGCGGGGAGGTAAGGATCAGTTACCTGCTCAGGTCAGCTTCTTTACTTGCTTCTGTGGAGCAGGCTATATTGGTCGTATTAGTCGACGTCTATCCATAAGAATATGAGAATACCTGCCGGCATGGCTGAGGATGTGGCCTTCATGCATTTCGATTCATTGCCAACTAGGCTGTTATTTTATGTTTGAAAACTCCGCCTTCTTTGCAGGTAGGGGAAATGTATGCGACCTTGTACTTTGGTTCGCAATTATGATACTTTTAGGAAGATCGTACAAGTAAATGTTGTCTTCTACCTCCGCTTCTCGCGATGATACCTAGAAAGTTGTAGTATCCGTTGCAATGTTCTAGGAGTACAAGAGAGCCTCCTTACTATAACATGTGGAGACGTAATGGTTTGTGTCCGAAAAAAGGTACGACGCTCCGTGGAATACTAACAGTCTAAGCGAAGACGGTGGCCGTGGTAATGGCATATACTTATTACTGCTGGCCTCAGTCAAGGCCTAGACGTCAACGAATTAAGTAAAATGAAAATGTTCCTTGGGCAATTTTTGCATAATTGAGCTAAATTCACGTAAGTCCCGAAATCGAAGGCAAAATATACATGAACGTCTGTGTGTCCCTCTTTGACCCCAGGTAGGCAGGTGTTTGAGTTGACCCATCTTTTTAAGTGCAGTCAGGAGTAGTTGAGACTTGAAATTATAGTTTTAAATTGTTTACAATTGTGAGACTTTTAAAAAAGCTCGTATGGATATTCACGTCGTCTTCTGCATTTATTTCTTGCGATGCTACCTTGCAAGTCTCCAGGTTTGTCATATTCGATGTAAGGTTCTATGAGCATAGGAGGGCCCCCGCATGGCTGCTTTGGTTTCACTGTGATGAGATGCATAACACCTATCTTTTGAAAGTTTGAACACAGACGAAAAACGTTTGCTTTTTGCTGCATTTCCATGCCAGTGTCATATACATGAGAGCGCAGTTTCAGTGTCTTGAGTGAGAGGAAGATGTGTTTTATACAGATGCTTTTAGCAGAAATCTGTTACATTTATCCAGGCACAATGCAAATTGTTGATATGACCATTTTTGGGGTGCCATTTTACAGACGGCTGCGTATTTGTCCATATAAG